CAGCATTAGAGGCCAAAATGTTTTTAGGGTATTTTTCAGCCAGAACCAGGCTGATGTTTCAGCCAGCTGGGTGGAGCGGTGCTGTATTTCCAGGTGATGTCAGCACCTTCCCCTCCTCAGGCAGCTCTGAGCCTTTGGAGTGATAAATGCAGTTTTTTTATTATAAACCCAGGATTAAAGGGCTGGCTTTGGTGAGGACTGGCCATAGACGTTGCTCCCTGTGACTCCAAGGCCTTTCAAGCCTTCTTAAACATCATTTATTCATCAGAGAGACTACAGGGGTTGGTTTTGAACTTTCTTTGGGATCTCATATTGCCTTTAGAAGAAATTATCTTGTTTCTTCTGCCTTTCACCTCTTTCAGCATCACCTGGAGTTCTCCAATCAGCAGAACAGGACAGTTCCAGAAGGAAGGACGCTGCTTTCCCAACAACAAATATTAGTCAGGGTCATTATCTTGCAGAAAACACTCCCTAATGAGAACATCTGACTTCAAAACTCTTATTTTCCCCATTCCTCATGGCCATCCCTCCACTCCTTTTTTCCCCCCTGCCTCTGACCAGGCCCTACACCCTGTCCCAAAAACTCGGGAATATTTCCAAGCAGGACACAGGGAGCAGCTGAGGGTTGGCAGTGCCCTCAAACCCAGCCTGGGGAGCAGCAGGGGCCAGGATGTCCCCAGAGATGGGGAAGGGAAGGATTCCACGCTCTGAGCTGCATTTCCTGGGGCAAGGGCAGAGTTGGTGTCCTCAGGAGCGGTGACAGCCCTGCCTGGCCACCACTGTGACACCTCTCGTGGCAAAGGGGGCGAAACTCCTGTCCCAGCTAGGCTGGGGCTCCATCAGAGACAGAAAAATCTTAAATCCCAGAGGTCCAAGCCAGATTCCCCATGCAGGAGGATGAAGGGAGCTCTCAGGTTGACAGGAGAAGTTTCTCAAAAAAAACCACATTCAGGAGAAACCCCCAGGTCTGGCAGGACAGATCTAACAGAGAGATTTCCTTCAAAACACCTGCACCACGTTTCCCTCCAAGGCATTTCCACTCAAATCCCTTCAACAGGCAAAACACTGAATGCAACAAAGGCATTTCCAGCCCTCTCTCCTTCTCCCCCACCCAGCCCTCTCCACTGAGGGGCTCAATGAAGCATCAGGTGTCCCCACCCACCCCATTCTCTCAGGGGTGTCCTGGGGGTGTTGTCTCCCTTCCCTGGTTCCATTTTGACCCTGTTGCTCCAATGTTCCCTCCTGGCTCAGGCAGGGACAGGAGGGCATTTCCACAGCAGATAAAGAGACAGAGGAACTTGGCAGGATGGCTTTATTTCAGATATTGAAGCCCCAAATAGGGCAGAGGAGCAGCCTTTGACTGTCACCAGATGGCTGCAGGGCCAGGCACACCCCATTCCCTGGGGAGAAACACTCCACAGAATGCAGGAAAAGAAAATTTGGCATCACGTTGACTTTGGCAGTTGGGCACATGCCCCTTCAACTTGTCTTGGACTCCCTCTGCATCCAGGGCTTGGGAGAAGTGCTTGAGGAGGGAAGGCAAAGGTCCAGAGGCAGGTGGTAAAACACAAACACGGCCTTGGGCAGGTGGATGAAACTGGCACAGAAACATCGGGTCAGTGGCATGACGCACCAGCTGGAAGCTGTCCCCAATTTTGTCCTGGCTCAGATGTCCCCTGGGGCACTCCTGGTCACCCTGTGCACACCCACACAAGGCCACACACCCTCCACTGCCCCATGGCACTTCCAGTGACTGTGGCCTTGGAGGTTCTCACCTTGCCCAGCTGTGAGAAATGTCCATCCCTGGCCTTTAACCATCCAAACCCTCCAGGGCATCACCCTGTCAAAATGTGTCCGGGGGCAGTGCCACGTCAGCAGGGTTGGGTGATGCAGCTGGTGTTGGGGACTGTCCTATTTCACCAGGGGACATCAGGCCCTTTGCCCTCCAGGGCCTCACTTTCAGATTCCCAGAATGGTTAGGGCATTTTTCCTAGCATGCCTAAAATAACAAGCCAGGCTTAAAAATATGTTTTCTGTGACAGGAGTCGCCTCATCTGCTGCATAATCAAATATTTGACTCCATCAGAGCTGGGTGTAAACTTCCCTGTCACCTTGGACACTCTGAAGATTCAGGGATTTCACATCCAGATATGAACAATATCCAGGTATTTGAAATCCACATGCCTTCGTGGAGAGCCCCCAGCATCCTCGAGTCAACAGGAGGATGTTCGAAAAGCAGAAAGTCCTCTCCAACACACCCTAACTCTGCTCCCACCAGCTCCACCCAGCACCAAGTGTCCATGTTGGGCCTTTCTCACTGCTCCTTCTCCATCCCCAAATCTCCAAAACCCTTCTGGGAGCCTACACCCAAACTCAGTAGCAAGCAGTGGAAAGAGCCTGCAGAGCTCTCCAGGGAGACATCAAAACACATCAGAAGGACTCATGGTCTGGGAATGTCAGCAGAAAAACACTGGAGGCAAGCAGACCAAGATCACAGGCTCCTCTTCCATCATGTCAGCACACTCAGACATGCAGGACACCTGGCCTGGCCTTGTCCCATGGTCACACTGAGGGACTGCCCTTAATTGTTTTTGAGACCTCCATTCCCTGCCCTCCATCCCTGGAATGGTCTCTGGTCTCTCCATCCCTGGAATGGTCTCTGACCCCTCCGTTCTTCTGCTCCAGGTCAAGTGAGGATCACTTGTGTTTGGACAAAGCTCTCAGGCAGACAGTGGGATTTTGGGGTGTCTGTGCAGGACCTGGATTGGATGATTTCTGGGTCCCTTCCAATCTGGATATTCCACGATTCTGTAATTTCCTGAATGACAGGGAGTAGAAGACATGGGAGGATGCAGGAGCACCTTGTCCTCCTCTGCATCACCACCCACACGACAACTCAAACCCAAGCAATGTTCTCCCCCTGCCCAACATGTCCCTGTGACCTCCTGAGCTGTGCTTGCAGCCCTGAGCCCTCCAGGAGGGACAGGAGGGCACAGGGGATGGTGTGGTGGCAGAAATAAAGGATGACAACTTCTTGGGATTCTGTTGCATGAAGGACATTGTCATGATCGAGACGGTCACAATACAAAGCAACACTCTATTTTCAGAAGGCTTCAAAAGGTTTTATTATAGCATGCGTGCTTTTTATACATTCTTACAAGTATAAAGTTTACTCATTGCTCAGGAAAGACAAACAAAGTGCTCATTGGAACAGGCAGTTGCAGGTTTCTCTTATTTCCCCTTCTTTCTTTCTTGGTTTCTCTGTCAAGGACCTTGGTAGGAAATGCCTTCAGGTGTGAACCTGGATCCTCTTCTCAAACTTCCCTCTGGCTCACAGAAGTCGCTGTAAAACCTTTCTCACAGGACATGAGCCATGGAAGGTGTCCCAGGAAACATTTATCTACTGAGTGATGGAATGCATGAACCAGGGAGGTTATTATGGGGTGTCCATCCTTGGATACACTGAGAAGCCATTGGCACCTAAGCCAATCCGTCAAGGCTGTACCACCTGAGCAACGGTTGGTCCACGTAACCTCTGGAAGTGTATTCCAACCCCAAAAACTGTGATTTTGTGACCTCCCCCAGTGGAGCAGCTTTAATTGGGGATGCCAAAAGGGAAGGAACTCCAGGAGACTCCAGTTTCAATGCAGAATTACACAGGGAGTGTGAGGCGCACAGGGAGACGCTGCTCGCAGGAGAAAGAGCAGAGCCTGGGCAGAAGGGACAGCCAGGAGGGGGAGATAGAAAGGACAAGGAATTGCAGTCCTCAAGAGGACCCTAAAAACACAGACAAGACCTCCTGCAGTGTGGCACAGAGAATGGAGAGGATCACCAACTGTCACAGCAAAACAAAACTGAGGCAAAACCCCAGTGGGAGCCAGAAGAGACAGAGGAAAATAAATGGAAACAGGGAAAAGCACTCACCTGTGTCACCAAGGAGGAGAAGACAGGAGAAGTGGATGAGGGATCCTGCACTTGCTCTGCCTTTTATACTGTCCCACACAGCCCCAGGCCCAAGGACAGTCTTTGCACAGGGAATGTGTTTACCAAGCTCATCTCGCATGCAAAACATCGCAATTACAAAAATTAGTGTTTTTATTTTTGCCCTGCAACACTGCCTTTTCATTTCCCTGTGCAGGACGTGCCCAGTCAGCCTCCCAGGCTCCTTTCAAGTGCCAGGATTAGAGGCCAAAATATTTCCAGGGAAAATAATTTGTCAGCAGGGCCGGGTGTTGCAGGCAGGGCTGAGAAGTGTCCCACTGACCATCTGGTGCCAGCCCCTGGCCCTCCAGGGCAGGAATTTCCAGTGCAGAGGCCACCCCATGTCCCCTGCTGGACATTGGCTCCATGGGGCTGACTGGGGCTGGTCCCTCACTTGAAAGGATTCCTGAGATTGGAAAAGCTCTCCCAGAACATCAAGTCCCACCTGTTCCCGATCCCCACTTTGTCACACAGCCCTAAGCACAGATTGCCATGGCCAGTTTCCCCTTGGACACCTCCAGGGATGGCGACTCCAAACCCCCCTGGGCAGCCCCTGCCCAGGCCAGAGCAGCAGTGCCCAAACTGGAGAGGGACAGAGGTGAGGGACAGAGCTGACCCTCGCAGGGGAATAGCCAGGCTGGAGCCTCAGGGCCCTGAGGAGCCCGGCTCCATCATCGGGAAACACTTTAAAGTCCTGCCCTGGAGGGCCAGGGCTGGAATTATGTGAGATGTTGGACACTCCTCAGCACCGGCTGCATCACCCAGCCCTGCTGATGTGGCACTGCCCCTGGACACGTTTTGGCCTCTAATCCTGGCACTTGAAAGGAGCCTGGGAGGCTGACTGGGCATGTCCTGCACAGGGAAATGAAAAAGCAGCATTGCAGTGTCCCCATTTCTCTAATGGGGATGTTTTGCATGCAGGATGAGCTTGGTAAACACGTTCCATGTGCGGAGGGTGCCCGTGGGCCTGGGGCTGTGTGGGACAGTATAAAAGGCAGAGCAAGTGAGGAGCCCTCATCCACCTCTCCTGCCTTCTCCTCCTCGGTGACACAGGTGAGCTGCAAGGGCCTTTGCCTCCCTCTTCTCCTTCTCTTCTCCTTTGCCTTCATGGAGGCAAAATCTTTGTCTCTCCGTAGTGCTCTCTGAGAGTCTTTCTCCTTGATCCTGCTCTCACCAGGTTTTTGTGGTTGTTTTTTCCTGGGGAGAGGTGGGAGATGTCTTTGCAGGGAACTGTTTGGGCTCAGGGCTGTTGAATTCCTCCCTTGCTCCCTCTCCAGGCTGTCGCTTCTGCCCGGGCTGTGTTTCCTCCTGCGAGCAGCATCTCCCTGTGTGCCTCACACTCCCTGTGTGCTTTCCCTGCCCTCTCTGCAGGTGCTCCTCCAGCCCCAGCCATGTCCTGCTACGACCTGTGCCGGCCCTGCGGCCCCACCCCGCTGGCCAACAGCTGCAACGAGCCCTGTGTCCGGCAGTGCCAGGACTCCCGCGTGGTCATCCAGCCCTCGCCCGTGGTGGTCACCCTGCCCGGGCCCATCCTCAGCTCCTTCCCGCAGAACACCGCCGTGGGATCCTCCACCTCCGCCGCCGTGGGCAGCATCCTGAGCGAGGAGGGAGTGCCCATCAACTCGGGGGGCTTTGGGCTCTCGGGGCTCTCTGGCCTTGGTGGCCGCTACTGCGGCCGCAGGTGCCTGCCCTGCTAGAGCCGGGCTGCATGTCCAGCGAGTGCCTCCCCAGGCCAAGTGTTCCCTGGAGCTGCTGGCCAGCGTTTCCAGAGGCCTCGGGGCCCCTCCTGCCTTCCTGACAAGGAGGAAAGGAGGGAGGTGCTGTCTGGTCTCGTGGGCAGCCTGTTTCAGCCTTGAAAATCCTGCTTTTGAAGAGTTTCCTTGTCTCTGATTTTGCATTTCACAGTGGTTTAATGCTGTGATTGCCAACAGTCAGTGGAGGGGTTTTATTCAGGAATTAAGGAAATGTGGAGTCTTGCTTTCTGTCTCTCAGTTGCAATGGTTTCTTTTACCTTCATAAATATATATTTTCCCTTTGTTTTTGCTGAATGCTACTTGACTGTTTATCATTAAACTGATGTTGCATCTGATTTGAGTTTCATTGTGGTTTTTCTCTCCTTTTTACCTCCCCTTGGGGCAGAATTATGTGAAAATCTATGCAAGGATTTCACAGAGGAAAATGTGCATCCAAAAGTCACCACAACTCATCTGATAATAATAATTTCATTGGTTTTTACACTCTTGAGAAGCACTGAACAGGTTCTCAAATCTATTTCTCTTTCTAAGATATTTGCCCCCAATTTTTTTATCCCACCTCTGTATTTAATAGTACAATTGTGGTGTTTAAGCCTGAGAGACTTTAGATCTTGTCCCCTATTTGGCATCTTTGAAATGCTTGAGAATCTGAATGAATATTAATATGGCAGAAGCAACACTTGCCGTTGTGGCAACCAAAAGAGATCCAAGAAAAATAAAGCCATGAAATAAAAATTTATTTGAAAATTAAATAATCTTGGAGCTGAGATATAAATATTTGAGGAGATCGAGGGAAGGCTCCTGGCATTCAGGTGTGGAGCTGGTCCAAATGTCCACAGAACAGGCAAAAGAGGTGGGGTTTTCTATTCAAATGTTCTATGCTTTGTTTAAAGTTTATTAAAAATTATTTACTTGCAAATTGACAAATTTGGAGGAGAAGAGCTCAGCAAAAAGATGGGATAGAATCCTAAAATATCCTCATTGGAAGGGGCCCTCAAGGGTCATCCAATCCAGCTCCTGGTCCTGCACAGCCACGAAATCCCAAAACGACCCTGGGAGCATTGCCCAAACACTCCTGGAGCTGCCCTGAGACTGTGCCCATTCCCTGGGGAGCCTGGGAAGTGCCCAGCACCCTCGGGGGGGGAAGAATTTTCCACAAAAATCCTGCCCAAACCTCCCTGGCACGGCTCCAGCCTTTCCCTGGTCACGGGGAGCAGAAGAACTCTGCTGGTGACCCTTTCTGCCTACGGCTTGAGGCAGCAACGCCAAAAAAAGTGAAATCTGGGGAATGAAAATGTCCCAGACTGAGAGGAGCCTGGGCTGGAAAAGAGGTTTCCATGGGCAAATTTTCCAAACAATTAATCAGAGGGACTGGTGGGATGAGTTCTTCCCTGAGATCCGCGAGGAATCCAAGGGTGGCGGCGTTCCGTGCAGCAGAACCGCTGCAGTTGTATTTATAATCAGACTAGTTTTTCTAGTTTTTTGAATATAAAAACAAAATCCTTGTGGTCAGCTTAAGTGACACCCCAGATATGGCACTTGCTGATAAAAATGTTACACATAAAATTTCTGTGCTAGCACAATTTTATTATGGTGTGAAATTGATGCAATGCCAATTGAAAAGTATTGGGTTTAAAAGGCAATTTAAATCTGGTTTTATTGAAAAATATGTAAGGGATTTGAAAATGTCTTCTGTATCTACCGCCAACAGACCATTTAATCTATTTAATCTATTAAATCTATTTTACCTATTTTATCTATTAATCCTGCAATGCAAATGGACACAGAGCAGGAGGGGTGTAGGAGGGGAATTTGGGAGAGTGAAGAGTCTGGGTAAGGGGAAATATACCCTGAAATTTCCTCTTGCTGACCTAAAGGGAAAAAAAAGGGGAAAAAACCATATTCCAGAATGTTCCCAACCCAGCACAGCAGGAGGGTTGTGCAGGATGTTGAAGTTTTTATTAAATGGAGATGCTCAGTTCAATTTCAAGCAGAATTTTGTACCTTTAAGGGTCTGATCCATCACCTGCAATGACTGAAATCACTGGAGAGACAATTTCTGAATAATATGAACATGGTTTGGAAGCCATGTTCCCCTTGGATTTTCAGGTGGAAAAATGGGTGCGATAACTCTGTAGATATTTTCAACTTTATGGGGTTTTTGAAACTTTTTTTTTTTGCATTAATTTGTTCCCACACATAATTAAGCAAGTGGAACCTTTTCTTGATAAAGGAATTGTCCTCTTTTGTTTCCCAGTCTAGGTTTAGGCTGGCATTGCGTGAGAAGCATCATCCACCCATTAAAAATTCTTTCATCTTCCCAATTTATGGGTACTTTTAATTTCTGGTACTTTTAGACCGACTCTAATAAGGTCAACCTCAAATTACTTCAAGCACAGTTTAATAAAGACAATTTTTTTTCCAGCTCCTCAGCAATTTGTTCACTTGTGGACGCCTTGGGATCCAAGATCAAATCCAAGAGGAGCCAAAACTCTTTGTGCGCCATTCCCAGTCTGACCCACTTACAAACAATTGTCAATTAAAATGTTCACATCTCCAAAAAAACCTCTGAGGACCTTTCCAAGCTTGGAGAAGCTTTGGGCTGACCTCATTGTGGCCTTCCAGGACCTGAAGGAGCCAACAAGAAACATGGGGAGCGAATTTCCAAGGGCCTGGAGTGACATGACAAGGGGGAGAAGGGGCAGAACTGAAAGAGGGGAAATTTAGGTTGGGTTTGGGAAGGAATTCTTCCCTGTGGGGGTGGTGAGCCCCTGGCACAGGTGGTTCCATGGATTCCCCACCTCTGGAAGTGTCCCAGGACAGGTTGGACAAGGCTTGGAGCAACCTGGGATCATGGGAGGTGTCCCTGCACACGGATTGGCACAGGATGAGCTTTGAGGTCCGTTTCCATCCAAACCATTCCATGATTCCATGACTCTGACTGGTGTTTGTGATCTGAGGTGGAACAGGAGGGGTTTAGATGTCCCCTTTGTAAAAGAACTGATAAACCACGATTAAATGTCTCCTTGTTCTCCCAGCTGAGCCTCAAACTGCGTTACCCAGATTTAATGCCATAAAACCATCTGAATTCGATGTGATAAAGTGGTAATTTGTCTCTGAATTCCACAATTCTGGCACTTCTTGCCTGGGTTCTGTGGGATTTCAGGGCTGGATGTGCTCTTCAGGCAGGGTCTTGCCCAAACCCAGAACTGAGATTGTTCTGACGCCCGGCTGGAGGCAGAGCCTGGTGAGCACTGCTGGAGACAGGAATTTATTAAAGATTTACACTCATACCCTTAATAAAAGAACGCCTTGGAATGATGAATTATGTATTATAGACATTCTTAGTATTTTTCTTTATGACTAAAGTCAAACATAGGCCAGAGTCTGGATTTTGTTGTGACTGAAAGGTGGCCCTGGAATAAATTTGGTCCCTAATTCCCGAGATGAGAGAAACCTGCGGGATCTGTCTGTCAGAAGATAAGGAGGAAATAAAAACAAAGTAAATAAGCAGTGAGGAAAAGAACATTTAATCAGGTGGAACATTTGACATTCAGGACATACTCGTTGGGAATTAATTCCAGGTACAAAGGCTGTCTGTGGTCCCCAGGCCATCAGGGTTGAGGTATAAAAACCAACTCAACCCAACTCCTTCCTACCACTTCTCTTTCCTCTTTCCTCTTTTGTGAGCAAGGTTAGTCCAAATCCACTTCTCTTTCTCTGTTTGCTGAGTTCTTGCCTTTTAATAATGTGTTTTTTCCCCCACAGTGTTCTGCTGCTTGCTGGATTCTTTTTCTTTTTTTTTTTTTTTGGGGGGGGGGGGGAGGAGATTTTTCCATTTACATAGCTGGGGTTTGCTGTTGGAATAATGGAATTTCTGGAGTCCTGACTTGGCTATAGAGATCCTTGACCTGGTGATAGAAATTTATTCAAATGCTGGATTTCAGACATGCTAAATGATATAGAAAATATTAGAACTAATAAAGATTAATTAATTGCATGCGTGGAATAACTCTGCAAGGGGTTGGAATTCTGGGATCTTTAAAGATCCTTTTAAACTCTAACTATTTATTAAAACAGAAAATCCAGGAGCTCAGTTATATTTCAGCAGCATATTATATCTTGAAGGGTCTTTTCTATCCTGGAATGTCAGCTGGGTCACCAAGTGTGGAAATTTCGTTCCAGAGTGCAAAGACATCTCCTGGAATGCTGGGAAGTGGGATCAGGGATTGTGGGGTGGAAGGGAAAGGGGAAAAACTGAAGCAGAGCTGAACACACCTAGAAATCATAGAATTTTTGTTTTAATGCTGTGGTACAGATAAAACCCAGGAGTGTGCATGGAATTCCTGCTTTTTGTCATATCCATGGACGAGTTGTCTGAGAAAAATTCCAAAGACCTCTTCTTCAAGGCTGCTTAATGACGTTGAAATTTGTCATTGAAATTTGTACCTCTTTGTAGGCAAAGTTGGAGCCTTGAAATGAATCCTCCCTTTCATTTTTCCAGCTGCCCTCTGGAATGTACCTCTCCCCACAGGTACATTTGTGGTTGGGTTTTATTCCTAATTGCTGCTCTCCCAACGCTCTGTGCACGCAGAGCTGGGTCTCTCCAGACGTGCAATCAAAATCCTCCAATTAAATTAATGACACAGGTTTGTTTCTTTTGTTCTGCTGCCAGTTCTTGTCCGGATCACCGACAGCCTAGAGGACATTTCAGCCTCTGTCTCTCTTTATTTAAGAGTTTGGTTTCCTTCTCAGCTCCTGGCTCAGTTCCTAAAAGGCTCCTTGGAAAGTCTCTGTCCCGATAACTGAAATAAAATGAGTAAATGAACTGAGCTGAGTAAATGCAGGTGTGACACATCTCCTGCCTTGCCCTCAGGTGTGCTCCTCTATTCCAGACCTCATCCCGAGCCATGTCCTGCTATGAGCGATGTCCGCCCACGTCC